AAAAAATACAAATAAGAAAGGAAAGAGAAGCGCATTGTAACCATACATTCTTTTGTGCAAGTAACGAGCGAATTTCGATCATCTTTCAATCAGGAGACAGTATTTATTACAGCCTATTTCTCTACAACCATTGACTTACAAATAAATGGACGACGGGTCTAATACAAAAACCACGAAAAAAATGTCCCAAGTCAACCTATTTAACCGTAGTGACATGTAAAGGAATATGAAAAAGCTAAAACGTTGAATTTAAATTGTAATGTCATCGCAGTACTGTCTAATTTTGCTTGCTTCGCTGTCAGTCGAACAAACGAAGACTAAAATGTGAATGACGCTCTGTATACGATTTTAACGCCCTATAAGTTCGGACACTTTTTAACGCGGACCCGACGTCCATATAATTGTAAGTCAATGTCTACAACACAGTATTCCACCCCAGTATCACGAAACTGTGAGGATGCTCGCATGATAAAACCTGGAGTTTTATTGGCTGTTTTGCAGAGAGTCGTGATGTGGTTATTATTATTGCCTTTATGACGGCCACTATGTTTGGGCCAGTGTCAGTTTTATAAGAATAATACAAAAGTTATGGCGATCATCGCCAGTGTCAGTATGATACCCAATCCGTGATATAGTTATGAAACTTTTCAAACTATAAACCAATCTAAGGCTCAACTCACACTAACGCAAAGTTGAAGCGTCGCGTCGCGTCCTGTTTTTCAACTACAACCCATGGCGACGCGTGTCGTCACACGTCCGGACCACAGTGCTGAACCAGCGACTTTTGAACATTTCGACGCTCGACTTTAACCAAGCTACTATAGACCAAGATTCCATATTTACATAACACAAATTTGTGCCTTAAATATGGGAAAATAGAAATGAAAATGCTATAGGTAAAAACATGACGCGTCGCAACGCTTCGACTCTGTGCCAGTGTAAGTTGAGCATCAGAATCTATTTTAACAGGTGACGGTTAGACGGATGCAATAAGAAAAAAAACTATAAACAAACGTCGAATTATTCGTGGCATTGCGTATATACTTTTTACCAATTATAATAGCTGCAGCCAACACCCTTTGAAATAAAACTTAAATTAAAAATTTTAAAATTCCCGTACACATAATTGCAGATAATATAAATATAACTTAGAATATTAAACCAAAAACAAAAACCGCTTTGAAATCTGTGCAACCGTTTGAAAGCTACGATGCCGCAGACGCATAGAAAAAGGCTTCAGATTTACATATCTCCCCTTTTATTCCGTCCGGGATTAACACGTTCATCTCGGATGTATGTACCAACGGTGGCACATGGTCAACTCGCTCAACAGGCGTAGGTCGTGTGTCTAAAGAACACTCCCGCCCTGTAAAATAGCAAAATTTTCGCAGGATAGGACTGGACTTGGACATTAGAAAGAATGTTTAAAAAGTCAAGATAAAAAAAAATATTTGAAAAATGAACTGGAGTGCTTAAGTTTTCGCAATTGTTACGCATTGAAAAAGTACATTGTGCATTAAATTAAATAAAAAATTACTACGAGAGAGTTTGTTACAAGCCCGAAACTAAAGGCTGAGGGCTTTGACTCGAGCTGTGTAATTTTTACGTAAAAATAAATTACTTTGTTGGATCTATATCATGTATAGTTATTTTTGAAACAAACCAATGTTTCGGGCCTTTTACAGGCGTAGTCACGGCTGACTAAGATGGTAAAAGTGGTAAAGTTTGTGACGGTGTGACCTCCTTACATCGTCAACCCACCTTTTTATCGCCTTTCTCCGGTTCCTGGCCACTTGTATTTAAATTTCGAATTGTACCATAGTTCTTTTGATTTTGTTTCGTTCCACTGTCACTCCCTGCTCGATCGCGACGGCGTACGGAGCTGGTTAAAATTCAATCGCGTCTAATTTTGATTCCTTTGCTAAGTGTATAATCATTAGTAATCTAAATCATGTGCCAATCTTAGAATAATAACGCATAGAATGATAGTTTCATATCAAACGAACTGTTACAAGTGAGACAAGAATCAAATTCATGTAGGCTAGTTTTAGTAGTAGGTTAATTTTCGGTTTTAGTGAATATTTATCTAAAAATACAAGTTGAAACGCGTTACTTCCTTGTGGAATGTGATGTTAGTATCTATTTTATGTTTGTCTGACGTATTTTTACACTTATTTACCCGCACATTTCGTCATTTTTAGCTAAAATTTTTGAGCTGTTCGCGGTACAAGTTGACCTTGAGCACTGACGGCACGCCCGCTCGTGTAGGCCATTTGGGAGCGCTTCAATTTGCCTCACTTAGCGTGTGCGGACTAGGTTTCTATGCGTTATTATTCTAAGGTGCCAATTTTAATAAGTTTATAACCACTACAGTACGTATTACTACTACTACGATACGTATCTATAATTCAGTATAACTCTTTGGTGTAAGTGTCTACTTAATATCTTATTCATCAAGTTAGGAAGTGTGGTGTTTTGTAATAATGTACCTATATTCTATATATACCTTTTATTGTTACAGCCTTCTTTGTTACCTTTTCTTTCCTTAACCGACTTGAAATAAATTTGTGGACTTGAAGTTTTCTGTTTTACTGCCGTGAACCTGATCACGGCTTGTTAGGGTTACAACCCTTTCAAGTTTGTTTGAACAAACGAATATACGCAATTTAGATCTCAAAAAGAAATAGAAATTACTTACTAAATCTAGAACGCACACTAACACCTCGCTTGACAAAACTTTTGTTTTTTTTCCATAATTCATTTATTTGTGCACTATAATAATTACTTAATTAATAATGACTTAATTAATTATTAATTTCGTATTTCGTATTATCATTAATTATTACATTTAGAAATATGTTAAAAGTAATATAAAAATTTAAATAACAATAACTAAAATTAAAAAGCGCATAAGAAAAGACAAGCTGGGCGATAATGAACCACCGGTATTATGAAATATAAAAACCTACCTTCGGATAACAAATCAATTAACTTTCTCCGTGGCCGAACGGTTACCATGCCGGACTGCCACGCAGAAGTCCCAGGTTCCATTCCCGGACCGGGAGAAATATTTGCATGGCCTACATTTATTTCTCTCGTGAGTTTGGATGTCATTTGTGGTTGTCTACGTGAGTATCCATGGCACCCGTGACTCAGGGTTTCCCTAGTGCGGGGCTATATTGAGTGTGTGCGTTATTATTTTATAATTAATTATCTTTTATTCCCTTTTATTCCTTATATTTTAAACCCGATCTGAACGTGTTAAAAAGCAGAGGGTCGAAACCTCGTTTACTAGATCAATCTGGCCAAGTCATTCCTCTCAAGTGACATTATCAGCTGAAACAAACGAATGCGATCCCGCAGTCAGCCCGCATCAAAAAGCCAGACATGTGTATATGGCAAGGCGGCGGGCGTCAAATTACTTACATCGCAACACAGTTATTATATACACTATACCTAGACTGAATTATCGCGAAGAACCTCCTCGAAAAAGAACAAATTGAGTGAAATTTACATTACCCAATGTTAGGCAGACGGACACAAACATTATAGTTAGAAACGAAAAATTTAACCTTCTAGATATAGTTGTATTTCTATGTATTCTTTTAGATGCTAAATTGCAATGGGTTTCACATATGTATAAGTAAGTTATCAAAACGGCTCAGCTCTGTAGTCAAATTCAAATTCAAATTATTTATTTCTCAGATAACAGGATCCATTGGTGTTAGTAAAAATAAAGAAACAAACTTATAGACTATTGTTAGTATGAAATTATAATTATAAATTACTGAGAAACTAAAATGTCATGTACTTACGAGGCATCTCGCGCGGAATCATTGTCCGTACGAGATGCCTCAGTACAGGCGCTCTGTGGTCGTTTGCAACAACTCTCAGAATGCTGTTGCCACTACCCCGAAGCCTACTAACCAAAGATGCTGCCTTTCTCCGCAAGACCGCATTAAAGCAGCTTGTATGGGATAGAGCAAACATTGCAGAGGCACTGCAGTACCGGGGTAGTCTCAACATCATCCTGAACACGTTGTTGTACTGGACGCGAAGTGAATTCAGCGACCTTTGCGAACAGCTAAACCACAAGCCGCTCGTGTACAGACCCTGACAATACGCTTTAAAAAGCGTAATTTTTACTTGGTCCGTACAGCGGGCAAACCTGCGGGCCAGCATATTCCCGCGGACCGCCAAAGCCCTGCGTTCCCTCTCGACGTCGTCATCATCTTTAAGGTCGTAGGCAAGTCTGTAGTGTACGCGATAAAAAAAAAACGAAAATTTTCAGACAGAAACAGCCTGATTTCATTTACCACACCTACTTTCACAGTTTAATGTCATACGGTATTTTGCTTTAGGGTAATGCCGCCGATTTAATAGAATCTTTGTCCTGCAGAAACGTGTGGCTAGGGTACTTTACAATCTGGGCCCCAGAGCGTCTTTGAGAGATAAGTTTAAAGAGATTCATATTGTTACACTAACGTCGCAGTACATTTACGAAAATGTTACTTTTGTTACGAAGAATAGTATTTTTTTTTATTAAAAATAGTAACAGGCATAACATTAACACGAGAAAATAAACTAGCTATTCTTGAGAGTCGTCTGCACAAAGTAACATATTCATTTAAGGGACAATGTGTAAGCTTCTATAATAAGATTCCGGTTTATATTCTAAATTTGCCATTTACGAGGTTTAAAACCATAGTGAAACAAAAACTTTATACTAAGAATCCATTGGCCCGTTTAGCTCTTACATGTAGTCTCAATCAAAGATGTTATTTATAAATATTGTAAATGCTAAATGTATTCAAATGTATATTTATATATTTAAAAGAGCAACCCCTAGAGTTTCTTTCTCATCCTTCTCAGGGAACTCTGCCTTACGAATGAGCAGTAGAGTTTAAATTAATATGACAATTTCAAGTCTGATTTGCTTACCTATGAAAGAAAAACGATTTGAATCTTTACAAATATAAAATGAATTAACTTAAACTTACATCAATGTCTATCCCAGGCACAGCAAATATCCTCGTAGTAGGATATTCTTTTGGTAAATAGCTGAAGAACTCCTGTCGTCCCCTGTACCACTTGACGCTATACAGGGTCTCATTGCCTTCGAGTTGGAAGGTACAACCTAGGGACACCGTGTCGCCGAGACGTACAGCAGATGGTGCTACGAGTTGTACATCTTTGAGGGCTATTGTATCTGAAACAAAAGATTTTTAAAATGAAGTATATGATGGAGATTAGTTGCTTTTCTATTGAGAAATTGACGGTTCGAATCTAAGCTACGTATATTTGTCAACATTTTACACATTAAACCAAATTTTAACATTGAGAAAACACGATGGATTGGCGTGTCGCTTACCACTAGACGCGCTATCACACTGTCCCTCAGAGCTTTAAATAGCAAAGACCTGAGAAGGCTGAGACATGTGCTTTTTTTATGTCAGGAAATCCTCATGGATACTCTCCACCTGTTTATAAGATCCAGCAGTCCCGTCTCGGTTTTTTTTTTATAATATCAAGTGACGGGACGAACAAATCGTGCACCTGATGGTAAGCTACACGCCTGTCCATAACAGTTGCAGTGCCACTCAAGAGTTTTAAGTAGCAAAGATCTGAGGGGTACTGTCACTGCACCCGTCACCCTGTCACTTAAGTTGACAAGTCCCTGTGCCTGTAATTTCACCAGCACCCTTATCCTTCAAAACCGGAACACAGTAATGCTGATATTACTGCTTGGCGGCAGAAATAGATAAGGTGGCAGTACTTCCCTGGACGAACTCTTTCACAAGGACTTCTACTGCTACTGCTTTCTAATTTTACAATGGTTTTGTGTTGTTTGGATAACAATAAGAAAGTTGACATGGCGAGTTTGATTAAAACACCAGCTACCCTACGTTTGTAGCGGAACGCGGAATAGCTGGGTAAATCAATTTCGCAACGAAGCCTGCAAAAACATTTGTTCAAGTGCCGTATTTTCCTCTTACCACCCTCAAGTGCCGCATATTGGCCCTTGGGTGAGTCCTTATTGCAAGCGGACCGCTTATTGTCGTACCTTATCATCCTCCATAGTCAAACAACGTTTGTCTGATATAATTAAATATTCTAATCAATTATGCCAATATTACACATCTCGCAAGCTATGATATTACTGTATATGTTTCATGAAACACACACATACTCAGAAAGACATTAGTAAACTTGATATTAATGTCAGAAATATTAACTGCCAGAGCTATATAAATGTAACTATGAGAGATGAGAGAAGGTACTGATATCCATAAAAACAGGTCTTTGAATCTACCTCGGAAGCCAGGGCCTCACAATGAAATATAACTTTTTTGTTTAAATAAAGAATTTACTATTATTGTTAAGGAAAATAGCTTCCCTGTTAATGTCAAAGTTAATAACAAAGAGAAAGTGCGCTGTTCCTTTTTCTATAATCGTGATTTGCGAAATCATTAGTATCAGTCATACGATATAACGTAGCCTTAATGACATTTGTTGAATTACGGTACTTTACATGCGTATATTTAGGACATTAAACAACCCGCTTGCGCGTATGTACTCGCTGCTATCCGCTACCCACCTCAACAACAAACGCGGCAGTAATGAACGCTCTGACCGCAAACAATTACATTATATCAAGCGACGCCTGCGTCTTAACGCAATTAGGACACGGACGCGTCTCCTATTTATATGCAATTATGTCCACCAGGTGGCGTTACAATTGATTTTTTGTTCTTGGTAAGCCGTCTTCGGTTCGCTATTAAGTAAAAAGTTGTTCATCACGAATGTGTCACTGTAGATGCTCTAAGATCATACCATTTGGTTCTGAGTAGGTGAGCCGTAATATTTATATTGGTACGACTGCATTATAACATCACTTGCGAATAACATTTTAAGAAACGTTTCAAGACTATTTGATCTTTAACGTATACTTAGAAAATACAAATTTGAAACATAAAGCAAGAGATCGTTTTCACATTTCAAATGAATTCGTAAAAACCAACGGAGAACTAAGAACCAAGGCTTTTAGAACCAAAAGTCGGCTAGGTATTGTAGTCTAGGCTCTACTCTATGAGTAGAATCTCTGGCTGAATGAGTTAGTTTTGTATTTGGAACGTTAAGAAAATAAGGGAAGATCTTGACATTAAGGACATCTTGATTATTGTTTCGTGACATGAAGGATTTCTAAATAAATATATTAGGATTTCTAATAATTAAATAAATATATTTATTTAATTATTAGAAATCCTTCATGTGGTATACCGCCATATCATATGTATGTTAGGATATGTTGTTAGGGTTACGAAACAATAATCAAGATGTCCTTAATGTCAAGATCTTCCCTTATTTTCTTAACGTTCCAAATACAAAACTAACTCATTCAGCCAGAGATTCTACTCATAGAGTAGAGCCTAGACTACAGTACTCAGTAATACTAAGCCATCGACTGTACTGAATTGTAAATAAACTAGCGTAGGTTTGAATGAGTACGTTGTTGTGGTTTTTTTATGATACTATGTGACGGGACGAACAAGTCGTACGCCTGATGGTAAGCGATACACCTATCTATAATAGTTGCAGTGCCATTCAGAGCTTCAAATCTCAAAAATCTGAGGGGTACTGCCACTGCGCCCGTCACCCTAAAACATGAGTTGACAAGTCCTATATGCCTGTAATTTCACCTTTAAATCCGTAACGCAGTGATGCTCATATTACTGCTTGGCGGTAGAAATAGAGTGGCAGTACTTCCAGTACTGCCAGTACTGGACGAACTCTTTCCCAAGGAGCTCTACTGCTATTAAATCGTGAAAATTGTTCATTGATAGCACTTACACGAAAATTGTTCATGGACAGAGCTACACACCAAAATGTTATTACTTTCCTATGTGTCGTCGTAGTGCTTATATTGATTCAATATAATAATTAGGATTTATGACTGACGTATATTTATTTTTTCAAATAAACCAACGTCTCGGGCCCGTTACATGACCCATTGTCACAGGTAAGTCAATTGTGGCCGTAGAACCTGTAAAGGGTCCGAAACGTTGGTTTGTTTAAAGAAACAAAAGTATCCCGATTTAGATCCTATAAAAAAGATAGTTTCATTTCCTAAGTGTGAGGAAATCCGTACCCAGCAGCATATATGGAAAAAGCCGTCAAATTGAACATGACTTTCATGGATCAAATGTTCCACCTTCACAGGTAAAAATAAATACATACCCTATTTTATTGGGAACTAGGAGAAGATTGGACTTCCTTCCCGTACTTACATGTTACTCCATCCCTTTCCATCAATCAATGTTATTCAGTAAATCGCTTTTGCTCCACCAACACACTATACAATCATTACGCCATCAACTATCAATGGAAGGATCTCTAAGGCGTTCAGTTGTAGCCTGTAAACCTGTCACCACTCCGAGCGCGACACTTCATAGGCACGCAATTACGCCTAAACCATTTGATGTAGGTGCCACTCACTACCGCTCTGATCTTTAATGTAACTTGTGAAAATGTTCGTGATATTAACAATCAATCAACTTTGAGTTAGAAAATTTACAAATACAGTTATTGTATCGTTTTCAGTTATGAGATATTAATGGATATTACCATGAACACATAACATTTAGTAGCATGTACAACATTGAGTATTATACGTATAGTTTTAACTGCCTCCGTGGACTGCCACGCAGACGTCATGGGTTCGATCCTTAGCCCGCGAGAAATATTTGTACGGCCTCATTGACAATGTGCGGCCTGCAATTATTTCTCTCGTGAGTTTGGGTCTAATTTGTGGTTATCAATGTGTGTGTCCGTAGCACCCGCGATACATGGTTTCGGTTAAAAAAAGTTCTACATTGAATTATAATGAGTTTCAAAAAAGAAGGTCGTATGTTTGCCAATTAAAAAGTATCCGTAAACGCGTGACTGCGTTCCTACATAGAATAACGGCACTATGTTTGTGAAATTATTAAACTTCTAATTATTTTATTAAATAATATTTTAAAATTTTATATAACAAGAACAAAGGCCTAACCATTTGGCAACAAATAACTATTTAGAAATAATATCAAATATGACTAGAGCTAGTCATACGCTCTACTGCCTCTCTGTCCATTCTTTTTTTTCATCCTCTGAGCTTTCTATTCTATCTCTTTGTTTTTTGCTTTGTAGCCTTTATTTGGCCTTCGTTTGAGTTTGTTGTCATGGATTGTAAACAAATAATCTTTAAATATTCGTTGTGTTTCATTATTTTGTGTTTTAATTTTTTTTATATTTGTGTTTGTTTATATTTATATTTGTTTTTATTTGTTCCGAAAAATAGGAACGATCTTTTGTTTCATCCTTATATACTTTATAATATTTTTCTTCTTCAATTATATATGTACTCACTCAGTTCTGTACGAATTAAATACTGCAAAGTTGTGTATACCAGTAATATGCACCATGTATAAGAACAATACGTCTTACCATAACCTTTCTGTACTATACTATGTATGTATGTATGCTGTTGGTATACCTTTATAAATGAATAAATTATTATTAGCGCCGCGCCCTGACGTATCCTGCTTAAAGTCGATTCTCCTTTAGATAATTACGCTTATTCTTTGACAGTAGCTGCCACCGCTGTTCAGTAGGAGTGAAAGCTCGTTACCAAAGACTCAAAAGTTCCTTTTTTAATTATATTTAGGATAGCATTTAAGCATTTCCAGTAGTCAAAACTGCCTTGTTCATGGCATACTGTCAAACTTTCTACACTACTACTACTACATATTCCTGGGGACCAAACGTACTCGCTGATCACTTAATGCCCTATGAGTGTATTATGAAAATGGTTTAAGGATGCCGCTGGGGTAGCCCTGGTGACATAGCACGTGCAAGACAACACCAACAACCTTCTAAATATCATTGAAAGCGGGTGCTTTGGTCGATGGTAAGGAGCACATGTAAGATGAAAATACAGGCTGGACAGGCAGATAGTGTAAACATCTGAATCATTGCAAATGATGTCATTATGACTGTGAGTTTTTTAATTATTGTATGGTATTGGAAACATGACTATTTTCTTTAATAAGATCTGTATTTTTATCATTAAACACGAATTGTATTTTATTCCCTTTCGATGGCGGCAATAAATAAACATTACTTGGGACTTTTTATTCCATTTGTTACTACTGGCAATTACTGGGATATTTTAAATTCCATTTGTCGCCAGTGAGCAACAACGGATCTTTTTATCCCATTTGTTTCTACCTGGTAACATATGGGTTTGTAATTTTCATTGGAAATCACCACTGGCAACAATTGAGATTTTTTTCTCATTTGTCACCACCTAGTAACATGAGCTTTTTTCCCATTTGTGGCCAGTGGGAACAAAGCCAATGGTGACGACTGGGAATAAGCGATTAAATTTAATAGTCACTAAGATAGTCAAAAAGACGAGTATTACTAACCAAATACGAATTAATTAATATTATTTATTCAGATAACATAGCCTCACAATTTCTTAGGCACGCCCTTTGAAATATGATAATTAAAATCAACCCCTTCGTATACGTCCCAATGCTGCCAGACGCGATATACTGTATCGATTCAAACACGCGCAAACATCGCGTTGCAAGCAAGAAGCTTATTATACTCCACTGTTGTTTACACTTAGAACTCAATGTAGTTGCCTCATTTCAAAAACGAACTGAATTTAACAAACAAAACTAAAATTAAAACTATCTCTTATTGTTACGGACGGCCGTATGCGCTTGGCTGGTCAGAGCAAATATGAGTAGAATTATGTAGGTAACTCAGGGGCTCTGATTGGCCGGGTGGCGTCCGCGGCGCATTGATAGGACCGCTACTGTGTGGGAGACACCGTATCGGTACATATATAAGTGAATTTTGGAAAAATGTGTTGATTTTAGCTCATTCATATTTGTGACTTGTTAGATTATGGAACTAAGTCAGATTGACATAGATCACCATTGCTAGGATAAGGTGTTCGTTCAAGAATAGAAGTGTATACAGTCCATCTAGATTTGAAACGGATTCAACCGGGATCCAAC